GCCAGGGATTCCTTCTAGGCAGCAGAGGGTCTCAATACCTTGGGCAGTGCAGACGCACCTGGCCTCACGGCCCATGTGTCAGGTACATCTCTCTCTTCAGAAGAAGGATTCAAACAAGGATGTTACCAGACCTTTATGGCTTCGTATGACACTGCTTTGTATTTTGATAGGCAGTGATTCATTACTAGCATCAGCTCTTAAGCTTTCCCCCTCCCAGGGAAAGACAGAAGTGGTGCATTTCAGAACAGAATGGCATCTTGGGAAGGGCCACTTGAGTGGCTTCTCCAGTCACTGCCTAAATCTCCACTATTTCCTGGGGTGGGGTGCCACTTCACTAATAAGTGATGGGCTGATACTGGGTTCAACTTAACAAGTCAGAGCAGCCTCGAAGCGCTGTGTAATGGAAGGTCTGCGCCCGTGCACGGCGCTCTCAGCCCTGCGCTATGTTATAAGGAAAGATTGACCAAGAGGCAGGTGTGGTGGGGTGACAAGAACGCCAGGTATAGGGTGAGAAGATGTAAAAGTAGACATAAAACCTGCCATATAGTAAAAAATTAAACCCTGCCCCAAGAGAGGTCTGGCCTTAGGCTCCTGGGAGGCAACCTCTAAGCCTTTGGAATGGCCTGCCTTTGTTTACCCGGGGACCTGGGCCACTCCAGATCGTCTAACAGCATGAGTGATGGTGAGGGCTTTGAGTTATAGGGTAACCCCTGGACCTCCAGCGGGGCTGGGGCCCGAGGTCAGCCCTACGGGCAGTTGGCCATGTCTAGGTATTGGCTCTAACGTTAGTGCATGTGCTGCTGAGGCGAGCACAACAAATTGGCTCTAGACACCAAGACTCAGGTGAGCTTCCCTGGCTGGCACACTCCATGAATGTTGCGCACATCATAGCCCAGAGGCGTTAACCCTGTTCATGGCCTCGTGGGGAGAGGACGACCAAAGCACCGCATCTGGAACCCTCCGGGGCCCTGTCCCACGCCTCTCTTCCTTGGCTGGCTGTGACCTGGACCCGTTCACTGTAATGAACCATAACCGCGGTGTAACAGCTTCAGGCGCCATCTGTGAGTCCTAGTGAATTGTCAAATCTGAGGGTGGCCTGGGGATCCCTGAATTTGCAACTGGTGTCAGGCCTGATGGTCTGGCGGCCTTTTCCCTAACCTGGCACCTGCTCAGTGTGAGCTCAGGCAGCATCGTCAGCTTCCAGGGCCTCCGTTTTGCATCGGTCACGGTGTCAGAATACCTTAGTGAGGTACCTGTCACACCCTGTCAGAGCAGAAGCGCAGGAGATACGGAAACAGAACTGCCATATAAAGTTTGCAAATAAATTCCACAGTCCTATAAAGTCCTCGAGGTTTTGGCTAGTACACTAACTCTCACCCATACGGAACAAGTAAAACTGAAATCAGAAATAGACTGATCTCTAAAACTTACTTTAATGGCAAACTTTGGTTTTCTAGACACTAAATCTTAGACTCACATAGCAACCAAGAGGCAAAATATACTGTTTCATTTCATCTCTTCTTTCTTCCTTTCCATTTTCCTTCCTTCCTTCTTTTCTTCCTTCCTTCCTTCCTCCCTCCCTCCCTTCTTGTTTCCCTGACAAAAAGTAAGCCTAGTGGGAAAGAAGAATCAAAGGCCCCTCGATAATCTATGTCAGTGATTCTCAACCTTCCTAATGCCGCGATCCTTTAATACAGCTCCTCATGTTGTGGTGACCCCCAATTTCATTGTTACAAATTGAACATCATTAAAGCATAGTGATTAATCACAAAAACAATATGTAATTATATATGTGTTTTCCGATGGTCTTAGGCGACCCCTGTGAAAGGGTCGTTTGACCCCCAAAGGGGTCGCGACCCACAGGTTGAGAACCGCTGATCTATGCAATGACTCCTCCCCCTGGGTAACCAGGACTAACTGCTCCGCGTTGGCACTCCCCTGAAGGAAAAGGGCACAATCCTCTCCATGTTCCTAACCCCGAGGACGTCACACAGCAGGTCAGCAGCAGGAGGGCCAGCAGGATGCTCTGGGTCTTTCCTCTTCACCAACAGCTTTCACAGGTTCACGTCACCTACACGTCTGTGCCTGTCAGGGTGCACATGGCAAAGAACCGGCAACCCGCCGACAAAGGCTGCCGGCGAGGACACGTTCGAAGACACCCTCCTCCTGGGGACCGCTGCCTCTGCACACACACCGCCCTCTGGCTCGGAGAGGCCTTCATTCTACCCCGAAGTTTACCTTCCAAACGTAACAGACGCGACAGCCCGGGAGACACAGCTGACCCCCGGGAGGCTCCCAATCCCGAGTGAAATCTATTCTAGAAAACAAAGGCCTAGAAGTAAGATGCCTTTCAGAAAACTTACCGTTTTGGTGACCTCACTTTCAACTTCATGTAGGTCTGAAGGTTTCTCCACGGTGGAATTAGGAAACGTTTTCTTCAATTTAAACTCTGTCACAAAGGTTCTAACTGAAAGTAAAAACATAACCCGTTAGGCTACATGAGAGGTTGACCTACACACGGCTGGGTGCCTGTAAATTTCTGGGGTGTCCGGCTTTATCCCACCTCGAAGACCATCTCTGTGCAGTTCTTTCTCCTTGAGGGTGGAGACCACCTCCCCTCTCTGGGCGCCTCTCCACGACGGTGAGCACCTACTGAGCTGAGCTGGTGACTCAGACTGAGTAACTCTGTGGGTGAGAGACTCCAAGGAGCCCTTTGTGTGGAAGGGAGGGCTGAGAGGAGTCTTCCTGACATCTCTCTAACGGCCTTCCTATAACAGATGCCCAGTAAAGCTGTGACGAAGAAGAAAGATGAGCTGGCCTAAACTACATAATCCCAGGAGGGAGACATGGGGCTAGACACAAAAAGTGCTCCTCAGGCCCCATAATGCTTTATTTACTAGAGGCTCAGTGCACAAAATTTGTGCACAGGTACTGTCCCTAGCAGCTGCCGGCTGTCAGCCAGGGCCTTCGTTCATTCCGCGCCACCCCTGGTGGTCAGCACACGTCATAGCGAGCAATCGAACTCCCAGTCGGTCAAACACCCAAGGGGACACTTTGCATATTAGGCTTTATATAGAGAGAGATTTCAGAGAGGGAGAGAGAGATAGAAACATCAATGAGAGAGAATAATTGATCAGCTGCCTCCTGCATGCCCCACACTGGGGATTGAGACTGCAACCCGGGCATGTGCCCTGACTGGGAATCGAACTGTGACCTCCTGGTTCATAGGCCTACACTCAACCACTAAGCCACACTGGCCGGGCATAGCACTTTAGAGCAACCATGTCAAACTTATGGCACACGGGCCACATGTAGCCCACAATGAATATTTTTCTAGCCCAGCCAATATAATGGTATGTAAGAAACCGGTATGTTTTAATAAAAATTTCGTAACTTAATTTTTACAATATCCTGGTAGACATAATTATTAATAATGAACTACAGCATTCACTAATGACTGATTACTATCATTGTGTTGCATTCATTTCCCTTACATGCCTTACTCACAGGTACACCATTTCTCTCCAATAATACAGTGGGGCCTTGACTTACGAGTGATTTGCATTATGTTTATTAATTTATGCATTTACTCAGTGTCTGGTAAGTTAATGTTTAAGAAAAAAATATTAATTTTTATTAAAATGTTCTATTATTTTATGTTAACGATTACTCGTTTATTTCAGCCCTTTGTATTCAGCATGTCTCAATTGAAATAAACCTACATTTCTATGAAAATTGAAGCTTTTGTTCTTTTGCGGCCCACATAAACTTAAACCTTGTTTATTTGGCCCGTGTTACCCCTTGAGTTTGACATGCTTGCTTCAGAGAGAGGAGAGCTCTTGCACTCTAGGTCTTTCACCAAGTCGACACATCCTCACATTCAAGGGCATGCTTAGGTTTCCTCTACTCCTTAGAGTCACTCCATCAACACCTATTCCTTTTGTTCAGAGGAAATGCCCACTTTATCACTGTAACTTCCCAAGGTTGCGCAGCTCCCAAGGGCCAACATGAACATTGAACTTCCTGTGTGCCCATCTTCCAAGTCTATCTACACCTCAGCCCCTTGAGGAATTGCCACATCATTAGTCCTGTACTGACTTGTTTGGTGTGCGCAACAGGAAATATCTGCTGTTCTGAGGACAATCACGGGGCTACAGAGAAAGGCTCCAAACCTCTGTAAGGGGGCCCCACTCCAGGGGTCCGCCAGACTCCACGATGCTAAGCCACGTAATGGAACGACCCATGTTCAGGATAATGTTGGATTCATACATGAAAGAGAGCAGCCCCACTTTCAAGGCCCATGTCACTCATAAAATAAAATTCTAGTTAACATCAATTTGTGCCGATTGGGCCTGAGGGGAATGGAACTAACAAATGGGCAGGCAACCAAACATTAGTACAGACTGCTTTATAACTGGCCCTTATCTTCTTTTATATTAAATTCCTATCGTCCCCTCTGGACAGGAAAAAAATAATAACCCGAAACACAGAAACCCCTGAAGCTGCTTTTTCACAGAAAGCTTGCTTGCTGAATTAAGAAAAAGGCCCACAAATGAGCCAGGGAAAACATTTAACATCTTATACTTACTGTCTGAAGCCCTTAATCCTTATTTAACATCTTTTTGCTTGTTCTACAGTTCAGTGGAGCCAGCTGCTTAGGACTCTTTCTGAGCAGCAGGGAGCTCTTTGAAAACATTCTTGGCCAAATGAAAGCATTTCAACATGCTCTAATTTGCATGTTCCTCTGATGTTTATGAACAATGAAGTTAAATGACTTGAAAAGGGAAAGATGATTGTTAACACAATCGACCCACTCTCCGCCCAATACTGGTGCCCCTGGGACACTCCACACACAGGCTTCCGGGACCGTCATCTGCTCCTTCATCTTTTCATCTCACAGGTCCAGGCTTATATCCAGACCCTCAGCATTGAAATATACAGGTTGCAAATGCTAAGTACACAAATCTCTTCTAAATCATGACAGCAAATGTGACCTCCACTTTCAGTGTGAATGTGCACGTGAAGATGGCATCACATGGCATCCTCCCAGCCCCTGCACTCTCCCTGGCACACAGACATCCTCATGCCTGCAGTTATATCACCTGGCTTTCAGGCAACTTTTTAAAAATATTTTTTTATTGCTGTCAGAGAGGAAGAGAGAAGGAGAGAGAGATAGAAACATCAACGATGAGAAAGAATCATTGATCGGCTACTTCCTGCACATCCCCTACTGAGGATCAAACCCACAACCCGGGCATGTCCCCTGACCATGAATTGAACCGTAACCTCCAGGTTCATAGGTCAATATTCCACCACTGAGCCACACCGGCCGGGTTAAGGCAATTCTTTACTTCAAATTTAACTATTGATTTACACAGGTTACAGGAATGATTTTTTTTAAGACCCATACTTATTCCTTTGTATTCAGAGTAGTTTATTATTTTCATTGCTTTCAATTCTAGACCAAGTGGCCCAAGAGGCTAAAGACCAATGTTAAATGATATCTCCTGTCTGGAGGACTCTACCATTTTTTCTTTTCTTTTCTTGGAGTGCTCCTGAACACTACCATTTTCAAAACTTGCTCCAATACATTATTTTATTTGATGTTCACAATAAGCCTGAGTGGGAAGCAGACCAGGGGGTAACCTGGTTTTACAGATGAGGAAATTGAGGCTCAGGGGTCATGGGCTGCAGGTGGTGGCCCTGGGGCTGGCAGCCAGGTATCTGCGTTCTCGGACAGGTGTACTTTGCACACCGCTTCCGAACAAAGTCATATCCACCTTCTCCATTCTTAATCCAAAACTCCTGGCTTATAGGGTGTAGCTAAATGGAATAGGTTCCCCCAAAGCAAATAAACTACTAGAACAAGAGGAATTCTGGATTTTGACTGGTATCTATATTCCTAGATTTTTCTTTCTTTAAAGAATGCTTTGATTTAACCCTTGTATTTTTACCAATTTTCAAAATCCTACCATTAGTTCAGTAGGGTAGCAACTGTTGAAATAAATTTCTAGGCCCAAGATGGAGCTGCTCCTGCCAGGGACAGCTTTCATGTGGGCTCTGCTGGGCCAGAAACACTGTGTTTCCAGCCCGCCACTCCCCAACACCAAGCCAGCCCTGGGCTCTATACCTATTTCCTGGTTCCTTAATTTTTCTAAATAAGGTCAGAGATGCAACCCTCACCAATCACACCCTGCATCCCCCTCGGTCCCACTTCTAACCCTCTGTAACACTCGCTCTCGCCCACAGTCCCTCAGGAGGAGTGCTCCGCGCCCGGGAGGCCCTGCGCTCCCCTCCATGGGTGGCTTCCCTTGAATAAAGAACCTCAATTCTGTTGTTTGACACAACCTTCTAAAAAGTCTGATGATTCCCCTTAGCCTATAGGCCAGTGATTGTGAACCTATGACACGCGTGTCAGAGGTGACACGCGAACTCATTTTTTTGGTTGATTTTTCTTTGTTAAATGGCATTTAACTATATAAAATAAATATAAAAAATGTCTTTGTTTTACTATGGTTGCAAATATCAAAAAAATTTCTATATGTGGACACAGCACCAGAGTTAAGTTGGGATTTTTCAAAATGCTGACACGCCGAGCTCAAAAGGTTCACCATCACTGCTATAGGCAATAGGAGTTCATGCAAATGATATTTTCAAAAGACAAAGAAATCCGTTCTGGCAAAAAAATTTACTGAGTACTTTCTGTGTGTTAAGTATCACACTGGGTGATTTAAGATGATTCAAAGATGAGTCACTTTACCAGCCAGTTTCCTTATTGAGCTTAGATAATAACTCGATGTTCTTCGCTTCTAATTTCTTCCAGTTATGTACTGGGCTTGGGCATTCCAATACAGGGTTATACACCGTGTGCAAGAAAGCCCTTACAACTAACACAGTATTTTGGGACAGGAGGAACGGTAGGCTGGAAACCTGGCTTCCAATCAAGCAATTGTGTACACCTGGCCACTTAGCGCCTTGTCAGGCCTTGGTCTCCATGTGGGTTGTTTGTTTCTTAATCTTAAAGCAGTGAGTACAGCTAAAATCAACAAGCTTCATGAGTCTTATCAAATTAGGAAACAAAATGTGATAAATTGCATGGTACAAGTATGGCAACAGCTTTGTAAAAATATATCTGCCTGTGGATAATAACATGAAGATTGTTTTTAAAAATGAAAAGAATGTGTGAATTTGGTAGGATAATCAGGGTTTTTTTCTCTCTCTAAAATGTATTTTTTTAAATAATATAGTTAGAATATTCTTTGATGTAGACATATTTTTTTTCTAACTGCAGGGTGAAATGGTGAAGCAAACAGTTTATGCACAAATGATGGCATACTTATGCAGTCATTAAGAAGTTTGTATAAAATCTATAATAATAAAAGCATAATATGCTAATTAGAGCCGACATCCTTCCGGACAACCTTCTGGACGAAGCCGAGGTTGCGAGGGAAGCCCGGGTCCCGGTGCCAGAGGGAAGCCGTTGCCAGCAGCCGGGGAAGGGAAGGCCTTCTCTTGCACGAATTTTGTGCATCGGGCCTCTAGTTTTTTAATAACACGGGAAAATATTTAAGATGTAAAATTTGTACAAATATCACATGATGTCAACTATGTAAAGATATAATGCACACTAAAAAAGTTTCATAGAAGGTGCTATCTAAGTGGTGGGACACGAGGCAGCCTCCACTTCTTTCTCTCTTCCTTAAACTATAGCTCCGACAAATGTTGGTTTTCATTAGGGAAAAAAGCAATGTTACTTTTTATGTCACTTTGCAAAATATAGAGTGGTGTAGAAAGAATCCCAAGATAGACTAACTCTCTTACCCAAATTGCATATTCCTTTTTCCAGCTGGTACCCAATGGGGCATTTGCAGGTGAAGGATCCCTGAGTATTGTTGCACACGGCCAGGGGCGGGCAGGGGGTGGAGAGGCACTCATTCACATCTGCAGAAGACAGAACACAGGCCACACTGAATCCATATCAGACAGCAAAACCATAACCCAGCACAGTAAGCGCGGACTAAGGGCCCAATGGCATGAGGTGTAGTGGGGCCCCAGAGACCAGCAGGACACTCCCCTCATTCCCAAGGGGCTACCAGCCTATTAAGGGTGGAGGCTGCCATGCAGACAGCTATCTGTAAACACAAGGCAGGATTTGCAAGTACAGAAAAATAGCAGATTTTAATGGAGGGGAGGATTAAGACTGTTTTTAGCTGTAATAGAATTAACAATAAAAAAGAAAAAAAAAAGACTGTTTCAAATGATATCTGGACTAAGACTAGAAGAACTTTAATAAGCAGGTGGAGATGGGTGGTGGTGGGTGTGTGTGTGTGTGGGGGGGGGCGGTTTCTAGGCTGAGGCACCAGCACAGTGGAGGCCAGAAGAGCAAAGCAGAAGGGTGTTTGGGGAGCCGTGCAGGGCCCAGTGTGGCAGGAGTGTATGGAGCCCACAAAATGAGGCCAGATCGTGGAGACCTGCCAGCCACGCTGTCCGACATTATTCTGCAGACGACAACGAGCGTGTTAACCTCAAGTCAGCAGGGCATCAATTTAAAAATCCTACTCCCCTGCATTTGGAGAAAAAACGAGCCTGCTGCCTCCCGACGTGCTACTGCACTGTAGACCCCGGAGATGGCTTTTCCTCTTACCCACACCGCAGTCTTCCCCTTGCCAGGAAGGTGAGCACACGCATCGATGGCCACGGCGGGCGGGGTCCACAACGCATTTCCCATCGTGGAGGCAAGGGTTCGGGGCGCAGCTGTTCACTAAAACACATTCCAGGAATAGAGCAGTTAACCGCACAGCAAATGTAAAGGCAGCGCTCGGTAAATATTTAATCCTCCCGGCTAATATTTGACCCTCACTTATTTCTGTTTACTTGCCCTGAAAGGCCACAGTACGAACACAGAGTGGGTTCCTGAGAGGGGCGACTGAGACGCAGTGGGCCTGGGTTCCGGCACTTGCTGGTGGGCAGACACGGCGCCAGACAACCGGACCCTGAGCGCAAGAACCGCTTCACATGCTGCTCACGGGTCCCTCCGCTCAGGACGGGCGATTACTCTGCCTCTGTGAAACTCGGAAAATTCTACTGGAACTAATGCCCACTTAAAACACATATTAAGGGGAAAAGGATCCCTGGTCACCCATCCTCCTGCAGCAAGGTTTCCCTGATTCCGAAAACCTCACAATGCAATAATATGCGGGCCTCCACGTGCTGTGCCCTCACTTAGAAAACCGACTGCAGGTGAGCATGACCGTGCCAGCTCAACGAGCCCTGTAGGGTTCATCTGGACCCAGTGATGCTCTGGCTTCAAGGTCACCTTGGACTCCCAGCTCCCAAGGGCAGTGGCCACAGCTCTGTGCTTCGGTCTGTGTAACCTGTATTGTCACGCTCCCTAGTCAAGGTCTCTGACATATCCCACAAAATAACTGCATCATCTCCAAGGAGAAAATCGGTGGTAGGATGAGAAAAAGAAGGTGGAAGTCAAGGTCTCTAACTCCAAAAGAGTGACCCCGAAAACTGATGGGCTCACCCTAAAGATGGTGCTCCTGTGCCTCGCTGCTGCTCTAATAGACCCGAAATCAGCCATCTCAGCTCAGCAGCGACCAGCAAGCACTGAGCCCATGGGTCCTGCTGCAGAATGCACATCACCAGCCAGCAATGACGCCAACTCCCACCCACAGTTGCCACTGCAATGGCCACAATCAGCGAAGGGAGACGGTGCGTATCTGGCTGCTGGAAACGAAGCCCTGTGAACTCTGAAGCAGGGGAAGGATCCAGCTTTCGTTTCCCAGAGCCTCTGGGATCACCGGTACAGAGGGGGCACTGAGCCTCATGGCACTGTGGGGCTGGCAGGCGGGGCATGACCCTCCAGCCACCAGATTGCTGATGGCTGACTGGGGGAAACCCTAACACTGACAGTCCCTGCTGTAGTCACCACAGAGCACTTCCCGTCCTCTCTTTCCTTAGGGCATCATCTCCATTTCACCCCATCAGCACCGGCAGCTGGCCTTCCTGGGTCTGGACGAGCCACATGTACAATTTTAAACAGGACATCAAAAGACAGATCATCTTACTTCTACCTTTCCTTACATGACAAAGAGTCATGTCTGTACCAGGAACTTCAAGATAACCTCAGGCACAATGCAGTCACTATGGGACAGATTAGTCCATCACTATCTTATTGAACATGCCCACCTACCCCCCCCACCCCCAACACACACACATCTACCAACCAGCAACATAATCTGAGGGACACCAAGTGGCCAGGGCTTCCCCTGGACCAAGGGAAGCCTCCCTGGTTACTGTGGAGCCACCTGCCCAGCTCAGAAGCGCGGGCTCTGATCGGGGAGCAGCCACCGACTCACTCCATGCCTCGGCCAGGCCACCTAAAGCTTCTTGACTGTGTTCCCTCTACCCTCCAGCCCAGCATCCCAGCATCGCGGCCGCCCCGCTCCGGGAGAGTTAAGGGCGTGCTCAGAAAGCTCTTTCAGTTACGGGACATTACAAGCGGCTGCTACACCATCTACTGATGTCGCCCAGCCAGTGGCATCCTCTCCTCCTATTTCGGGAGGAATTACGTAACTCAGGGGTGAGAAGATTAGGTCCACGGTGACATTACTTTATGCTTTAGGTGCTTCTACAGGAAGCACTGGAGATCATCCAACACTGTAACACTGTGCTGTTGCCAACAGCAGCCGCTGCCGCACACCCCCACGCACCCCGCCCGACACTCAGTGTGCCCGCGTGACTGTGTGCTACCTGAGGCTGGAGACGACCGCGCCGGGGGTGACTGCGTGCCGCTCTGAGCATGGGAGGTGGTGGCCGGGGGAGACGACACTTCGGCCGGAGAAGCGTCTGTGCTCCTGGGAGAGGGAGTCGTCCTGAGGAAAGGGGGAGCCGGGCTGTCCCCTTCGGAAACGCCCGGCTCCGTGGTCAGTACTGTTGCTGATGTGGGTGCACTGGTCAGGGAGCTCCATCGGGTGGTGTCACCGACAGGCGCTCGGCTCCTTTTAGTGGTAACGACGACTTCTGTGGAGATCCGTGGCGCTGGCATTTCAGGGCTGGTCGGCAAGAACCGTTTCCCAGCTGTGGTCTGCACTGCGGCGGGGCCAGCCATCGGAGTGGCTGTGCTTGAGGAGGGGCCGGGCGTGGGCACGGGGGGAGGGGGCGTCTTGGGAGTGGTGGCTGTCACCGCTGGCGGCGTCCGGGCCAAGCGGGTGCTTGTGGCTGGAAGGGTTGGCTCCGTGGAGGACTCTGTTAAAGCGGGGGCCACGGGGATCCCCGAAGCAGAGCTCACGGTTTCAGCTCCGGTGGCCTCTGTGGGCAGAGACTCCCAGCTCGGGGGCTTTGATTCGGTGGCCACGTGTTCGTGGTGTGGGTTGCTCTGATTCTTAGGATCTGCTGTTTGACTGCGGGAGAGCATTGGCACCGATGATGCCACTGTTGCCGTCCGAACTGGCATCATGGGAGTGTCCCTGGCCCTGGCGGGAGTGTCAGTAAGAGATGAAGGCGAAAGGGTTGCCTGGGACACAGACACTGAGACAGGGGCAGGGACTGTCAGGGATACGGGCGAAGGGGGTGGTGAGGAAGGCAGAGGTGTGGGCGCGTCGGGCGTGGACTCCAGTGGGTGAGCGGAGGCCCCGGTGGATGATAAGGTGGAGGAGAGGGGCTGGTGGGGCTGTGACACTGAGGGTGGGGGCAGCGGGGGCCCCGACGAAGGGGACGAGTCACTGACGGATCCAGTTCGTGTGCCCAGGAGGTCCAAGGTGCCCGACGTATTCACGGTCGGGGTGTAGAATGGGAGGTGGGCTGGACGCAGGCCCAGTGACTCAGTGGCAGGAGGAGCCCCTCCGTAGGAGGAGACGTTACTTTTTTCCGTCTGAACCTGAGAAGAGGGAGGATCGTCCGAACGTGAAGAGTTTGAGATCTTCACAGAAGAGGTCGAGCTCTCCCTCACGTCCGGGGCTGAGCTGTTGTCTGTGATGGACAGCAGTGCTCGCTCCCCTTTAGTGAAAGTGGAGGAGACGTAGGTGTGGTCTGTGTGGTGGCTGGGAGGCCTCCGTTCGGTGTCTGTGCCGCCCGCCGGATGGTAGATAATTCCAGTGACTGCAAAGGGAAAAACCAAAGTTAGGTCAACGGAACAAACAGGCAAACCCCTGGACACCCACTGAGGACAGACGGCCATGTCCGATCTGTGAGCACCGGCGGGCGAATCACTTCCTTTGGAGACGCGGTCTCCAAGGCGAGCTCTCCGAGAGGCCGCGCAGAAGGCAGGCAGGGCCTGCGTCTGAGGGCAGGTTCACCTCCGGTGAGGAACGCGGTGGCAGCAAAGGAAATGGTAAGAAAAGAGAAGTGGGGTCAGGGCCCAAAGAACAGGGAACAGGCCCAGATTCCTTCCACAGGCCTTTCTTGATAAAAGCAAATGGGTATCTTAAAAGCTCTTAAGACCCCAAATAGAACAATTGTTGTGTCTAAATGGAAAAAGGAAAACCCTCCCAACTTTCCATTCTCTGAAGAATGAGATTTCTTTCCCAGGAGGCTGGCCTGAGCCGCAAAGTGGCTGTTCTCTTTTATCTCAGCATCCTGGCAGACACCACTGGCACATGCCTTAGGTAAGTGGGGGGTGAGCTGGAGAGGGGGGTAGGGGGGAGAACCCAGAAAACTCTTGTCCTAAAGAGCTTGTAAGGTACTTGGGGTGGATGCGAACTTAATCATTCTGGGACCGTGAGCAAGATGAGAGATGACCTGAAGGAGTGCGGGGAGGGATCCAGCTCATCACCTCCGAGAGCCTTACCGGCCGCGGTCACGTTCCCATGTGGAGTGGCGCTCTCTGCTTCTCGGGGTGCGGTCTGGGAGCTCCCCTCATCCCCGGAAGTCCGGTTGGTGACAGATCGCAGTGTGCGCTCCCCGTTTCCAGTGAAGGTGGCTGAAGTGTGGGGGCTGTGAGCGCGGGCTCTGGGTGTTCCCTCGGACCCTTCCTGTGTGTTGGCACTGACTTCCAGCTCAGGACTATCTTCAGTGGCTACAAGAAGATTAAAAAGGGGAAGACAAACACCAGAGGATTTCACTCATATGTGGAACGGAATAAACAAAATGAACTAATTGCAAAATAGAGGCAGACACAGATAGAGAGCAGGCTGACAGCTGTGGGGGAAACGAAGGGATGTTGAGCAAAACAGAAGAACTCATGGACCCGGACAGCACTGTGGTGATTGCCGACTGCCGGGAGGAAGGGGGGTGGGAGGAAGTGAAGAGGGCATAGGGGAGATAAATGGCGATGGACAGAGACTTTCACTTGGGGTGGGGAACACACAATACAGTGCGTGTACAGATGATGTGTTATAAAGTTGTGCACCTGAAACCTGTATACTTTTGTTAACCAGTTGTCACCCCAATAAATTCAATAAAAAAGGAAAATTTAAAAAAAAAAGATTGAAAAGGGGATGATGGGTCAGTGCAGGGGGCGGGGGCCAATGCAGGGGAGACAATTAGGGCATGGACTTGAGTCTCAGGAATAAGCCGCGCTTCCTGGACTATGTTAGCCCGAATGCTCCCTGGGTTTCCTCGGGGTCTTTATCTGAGGAAGCCGGGCGTGGGGTGTTCCTGCAGATGCCTGTCAGTGACGGACATGCGGGAAGCGCTGCGGGTCAGCATGTGCAGGGGACCTGGACTCATGGGAAGGTTTAGTACTTAAGTGAACAGGATCAATATTGTGTTTTGCTGGGCGATACATAATAAACAGAGTTTGTGTCAGGGACATGGGTGGTGGCTGCAGGGGAGGTGAACAGTGGGCAAAAGACTAACAATCCTACTAGGGCTTTACACCTTCTGATGAGACCGAGCAGGGAGCCCACAAGACCCCGAAGGCTCTCACCTCCTGGTAGGACCAGCGAGGCGTGACCTGACATATCCATGAGAAATGGTATTGTGATCAGAGGTTAACGGTAGGCTTGGGGTGTGTGTGTGTGTGTGTGTGTGTGTTTTGGATGCATTTGTTTTATTTTCTTGGTGGGGATGGAATAGGGACAGGTGATGCGTGAATAAATATCCCTTTCTTCCTTTTTTGGGCATGGAAGTGAGGATCAGTTTTTCTTGGCCTAACTACTCCATAATCTGGCTCTGTGAGAGAAAACGGGCTCTTCTCCTGGTTCTTATTTTTATTCCCAGACCAGACTAGCTCTTGCTGCCCCATGGACACACCCCAAAGGAAAAACGAAGGTAAAGCTGAGGGTTAGGTAGGTTCACCTCGCGAGAGGTCTGCCTTCACTGAGAGACAGGAGTGAGTGGGGGACAGGGGTACACAGGGCCTGGAGCAGCACCCAGGAGCCAGGAACCAGGGGAGGAGGCTGCTTGACTCAGACTGAGGGCTTAGGGGGCCCATGGAAGACCTGCCAGGGAGGCTGGAGAGCTGAGCGGATTGGAGCACAAGTTCCCGAGGTAAAGCAGACAGGGCCTGGGGTGGGGAAATGGAAAAGACCTGTTAGACAAACATCAGGCAAGCAGCCCCATCAGGCTAACAGACACCCCCGTGAAGTCATGACCTGGAACAGGGGCTCCATCTGAACCCAGAAAGGAAGCTGGAGAGCTCTGAAAGGCTGGCTGGCAGAGTCAGCTCGGGCGATCAGAGGAAACGAGATAAGGCACCGTGTCAACCGCAGGGGAGCGGTTTCAGGAATGAGGCTATTCCGTGTCCAGCACTTTATAAACAACCCCAAGACCTGCCCCACTGTCTACGAGGACCAGCTGAGCAAGCGCTGCAGAGCAAAGTGTCCTGAAGGGAAGCGGAAGGAAAGGCTGCAGGTTTGAAGAGGGACAAGCTCCTGGTTTGAAGGGGGACAAGTCTGAGCCCCACAGTGGTGAGGGTGGAAAATGATCCCTTGGTTCAGGAGACAGAGAATGCATTTTCCATGCACAGACATAAAAGGGCACACAGGGATCCTCCACCCATATGTGTTTTCTCACATCACATCACATGAGTAGTTACCACATGCTAATTTTCCTCATCAATTAGGATGGAGCAAATGGAGATGTTATTTACTATTGGTGGCGAGGAGGTAAGACTTTAAACCTATTATAAATTTAAATGATAAGTTAATGCATTTTTGCTTTAGTCAGCATACAATTCACATGGATAAGGCTGCTGGTAATAGTTTTTAAAAATTACCCAAAAACATTATTAGGAAGGAAAATGAAAAGAAAAGTTTTCTCACATTGATAAGTTGGACTTCATCAAAATTAAGAACTGTTGTGCTGCAAATAATGCCATAGGAAGTGAAATGATGACCCAAAGAACGGGAGAAAATGCCTGCAAATCATCCTATATAATGAAAGGCTAATATGCAAATTGACCGAATGGCCAAACAACCAGTCGCTATGACACGCACTGACCACCCGGGAGCAGACAATCAATGCAGGAGCTGCTCCCTGGTGGTCAGTGTGCTCCCCCGTGACCACCCGGGAGCAGACAATCAATGCAGGAGCTGCTCCCTGGTGGTCAGTGTGCTCCCACAGCGGGAGCACCGCTCAGCCAGAAGCCGGGCTCACAGGCTGGCAAATGCTGCAGTGGTGGCGGGAGCCTCTCCCATGTCAGCTGCAGTGCTAAGGATGTCTGACTGCCGGCTTAGGGGGGCCTAAGCTTTCAGTCAGACATCCCCCGAGGGCTCCCAGACTGCAAGAGGGCACAGGCCAGGCTGAGGGACTCCCCCCCCCGAGTGCATGAATTTCATGCACTAGACCTCTAGTGTATCTGATAAGGGACTGGCAGCCAGAATACACAAAGAACTCCTATACCTCAAAAAAGGACAAATAACCCCATTTAAAAATAGCCAAACGATCTGAATGCACATTTCCAAAGAAGATATACAAATGGCCAATGAGCACAGGAAAGGATGCTCAGCTGGAAAATGCAAGTCAAACCCACAATGAGATGCCACAGCACACCCATCAGGATGGCGATAGTCAAAAAAGACGGGCTGTAACAAGGGCTGGTACAGATGCTGAGAAACTGAACCCTTGCACATTGCTGGCGGGAAGATAAAGTGGGGCAGCCACTTTGGAAAAGAGATGGACAGTTCTTCTAAAGGTTAAATAGGGTTACTATTTACCCCACAATCCAGGAGAACTGAAAACACAAGTCCACACAAAAAATTAGCACTGGGATGTTCGCAACAGTATTATTCATAATAGCCCAAGGATTTTTTAAAAACCTACACATCTATCAACTGATAAAAAGATAAACAAAACGTGGTACCTCCATACAGAGGACCATCATTTAGCCACAAGAAGGAATGGAGAGCTGACACAGGCTACAACACAGACGGACCTTGAAAACATTATGCTGAGTAAAGAACACAAAAGGCTACATAGCATATGATTCCATGATTCCACTTGTAGAAAATGTCTAGAATAGGAAAATCCATGGAGACAGAAAACAAATATGTGGTCGCCAGAGGCTAAAAGGAGGGGAGGATGGGGAGTGACCTCTGGCACCGGGTTCCTTCCTGAGGTGATGGAAGTAGATAGTAGTGATGGCTCCATGACTTTGTGCCTATACTAAAAACTACTGAACTGTATGCTTTCAATGGGAGAATTGTGTAGAATGTGAATTATATCTCCCTAAATCGATTACAAAAGAGTGTTTCCCTTGATGAGTGCCTGGACAGGGGGTGAACTGTGGGACTGAGGCAGGTATGAGGGTGTGAGGTGGGCTATAGGGATTGGAAGGATGTGGCCAGGGAGATCCCTGGGCTCCCTGTGGGAGGGGCAGGTGGCAATAGCAACTCTGTGGAGATGTACCAGGAAAAACTGGGGGCCATGCAGGTGTATGTGTATTCACCAGCGGGAGGAGGGGCCTGGGACCACTGACACTAGAGGAGACTCTGGAGCTGTTTCACTGGCACGTGGCCTTGTGGTGCTGCAGAAGATCACAGGCCTGGCAAGCCCTGTCCCCTCCACGGGGCCCAATGTGCGCAGGGGAACTCACTTGAGCGTTCACCGCGTGGTGCTGAGGACTCCAGGCTTTCTGAGGAGGAGGAAGACGAAGGCTCGGTGGCCAGCTCGGCGTCGCTCCCTCCCCGCAGCAGGGTGTCACTTCCCCTCGGCTGTGGGACAGAGGCTGAGAACTGGGTCAGAACGGAAGAGTTCACAACTCCAGGGTAGGAAGTAGAGCTTCCTGTCACATCTTCAAATGTCTTGCTGTTGGTCAAGATCCAGTGTGCAGTGCTCTCTCCAGCTTCACCCAACGGGACTGACCCAGCCACAGACTCGGTCCGAGACACGGGGCTCCCATTCTTCTTATCAGAGCCGCTGGCCTGCTGGGGTCCTTCCGGGACTGCAAGGTGTCAGGGGAAATGCCGTTACATGGATGTGAAAGACACCCTCTGCCACTGAGATGTGAGTCCCCTCTAAGGAACGTTCCCTTGAGGAGGATCTTGCATAGAATTTATTATATGTGTAACCTGACATGCATTTTCATTTTCTAAATAATTAATTCAAAGCTCTTCCATGCCCATAAGATAGCAACACTGAAAATAAACATGATGAAGAGGGGAGCTCTTAACCTGCATGTGCAAAGCGGCAGAAGGGCCTGTAGGCTTGAGTATTATATTCTCTTTCCTCAAAGGGGGTCAAGGGAGAGAGGGCATTATGCCCAATAAATACAACACACCTCAACACAGGGCTTGGGCAGAACCCTTTTCCTAAAACAGTGCTATTATTCATACAGATTTTTCCAATTTTGCTGTAGGAATTTGGGGAATATATTTATATCTGCACTGTGTGTCCTGACGATGATCCATAAAGTAAGTCAAACTAGTTTTAAAGAGGCCACCTCTCATTTGGAGACAATGCTGCAGTGACAAGACCCACTCAGCAGTGAAGGGTCCGAGGCTGAGTTTGCAGCTCTGCCTAAACCCCTGACCCTTGGTTTCATCATCTACAGAAATGCAGGAGGAATGCCTGCTGGACACACTTCACACTGTTTCATAAGGTGCAAATCACAGTGTGATAACATGATAAACTAGAGTAAATATGATATACTATGTGCCATAGAAGGCCTGGAAGCCATCCCGTAAGAAAATCCAACAATGTATTTTTTTTTAATCCTCACCCAAGGATATCTTTCTATCAATTTCCCAGAGAAAAGAAAAGGGGTGGGGGCAGGAGGGGGGGAGGAGAGAGAGAGAGAGAGAGAGAAACATTGATTGGTTGCCTGCCATACACTTCCCTAGATATGTGCCCTGACCGGAAATTGAACTCGAAACCTTTTGATGATGGGGTGATGCGCCAACAATTTCTAAATGTCTATAATAGATCAAGCAAAATTGAATACTTACCTGGGGAATCATTTTGCCAAAATCTCACTGCGACCTCAGAAGATGTAAGGCCAAATCCATTTTCTGTGGATGACTCACTGAATTTCCCATTCCCTAGACTCCTGGTTATTCCGGTGTTTCTCCTCAATTCTGCCTCAGATGGTGAAGAATGAACTGAAGCTGACGTTGGGGCAACTTCAGCGTCCTCAGAGAAACCTTCTCTCTCGTTCAGCTGTCCTGCACTGACAGCTACAGACTGGGTCACCCTTGGGACACCACTGGGGAACGTCGTGGCAACCTGCACACTCTTTGCCCAGCTGACCGAGGGGCTTTGAGGAGCAGTGGAGTTGTTTAGCTTTTCCATACTTCCAGAAGCTAAAATGGGAAAGAAAAAAAAAAACACGTTTCAAGACTCCTGGGGGTTGGGGGGGGGGCTGTATCTAGATACTAATCATGTCTATTACATTTTGGTAAATAGATCTAGATCATGTGGACCTGACAGAGATAAACACATTTTTTGTTGTTGTTAATCCTCACTGGAGGATATTTCCCCCCCATTGATTTTAGAGAGAGTGGAAAGCAGGGGGCGGGGGAGAGAAGAGAGAGAGAGAGAGTGAGAGAGAGAGAGAGAGAGAGAGAGAAACATCGATATGAGAGAGACACATCAATTGGTTGCCTCCCCCATGAGCCCCAACTGGGTCGAGGAACCCACAACCCAGGTATGTGCCCTTGATCAAAATCGAACCTAGGAACCTTGGTGAATGGGCCGGCGCTCTAACCACTGAGCCCTGGCCAGGGCTGCCTTGGTTCCTATAGAGGAAGAAACTAGTACTCTTGAATTCAGCTTATAGCTTATATAGGACAGGCCATTGTGGTAAAGTACAGGCTTTGGCTTGCTTTATTTTAGCAGCTGTAACCTTATGTTCAAATGCTATTATGGAAGAAAACCCATACATAAAAAATGAATGCAATGAGCCGTTCCCCGGCACCCAGCTCCAGGTCTCCACTGAGGAGGCCTCGGCTCTGCCCAGCAGGAACACCGCCCAGAACAACAATTCGCAGCCTGTCACCACCAAGGGTTCGCTATTATTTCCCACCGCCGGGCAACCAGGAATCTTATGGTTTGAAAGACTAGAGACTGAAATGCATTTATTAAGTAAGAGAGTTTCTAACCAGCAGGAGACCATCCTTGTTACCCCACTGATGTAATTCCAGCCCAAAGCCAACAGGCTCCATTCTTGTGCTTCACCTCTTCAGGCACTGGAGGCAGCTCCCAAGTTTACATTCTACAAGGTTCCCTAGGAGATCGAGGACTCCAGGCTGGGAACACTTTTTCTGATGAGCCGATGGCAGGGACTGGGTTAATCATCAGGAACCTCTACGAACTGTATTATACACCGCTGTTCAAAACGCACGGTCTGCCCGGGTCGCTTGCTCACAAAGAACGTTCCGCAGGGCACCCTGGGCACAGGCCCCAGAGGGCACGCCGAAACCCTCCCTCCAAACAGGAATCGCCTGCAGGAAACTTGGGAAGTGGGAAGAAACACGCAGGCGAGATCCAAAGGCCAGAAAAAAGAGTGTCATTTTTCTTTCTCAGCCAAAAATAATGAAAAGGATTCTATACCTTATAACGCAAGGGTTCAAGCTGTTAAGTATGACCCAGCAAAGAAAAAAGAAAGTTCTCATTATAAATGTTTCCATGTTTCCAGTCCTATGTGCAGTTCTGACCAAAAAGCGCAAATAAATGTTAAGCATGATTAGAAAGAGCGTAGGAAACACAAAGCTTCCTCGTACTCGCGTACAAAACGTAGCACCAGCTATGCCTACAGCACAGCCCACGGCCAGCAGCTCTGGTCACCGGACCTTTATGCAGACAAAATGAAGATGCAGGCGATCCATACAACTAGTCATTAAAACAAGGGAAAAGAAAGAGCCAGGCACAAAAACAGAGTCCCAGCTTACCCAAACCCACCTCTGCTCAAACAAAAACTCCGTAGGATAACACAAGGAAAGCATGCTGTATATCAGGGGTCCTCAAACTTCTTAAACGGGGGGCCAGTTCACTGTCCCTCAGACCGTTGGAGGGCCGGACTATAGATAAAAATAAAACTATGAACAAATTCCTATGCACACTACACATATCTTATTTTGAAGTAAAAAAACAAAACGGGAACAAATACAATATTTGTATTTGCATGTGGCCCGTGGGCCATAGTTTGAGGACCCCTGCTGTATATAGATACACCCCAAATCCTCTCAACCACTGAGCTCCTCGGGCCTCACTGCATTAGTTATCGTCTAAATCCACCAAGTTACAGCCCCTTCGGGCTGCCGGGTGCTCTTCCAAAGCACTTGTGTTCCCAGTAAACTTTATTATTTCATTGATTCAATGTGCGGCGGCGGTTGTACTGGACTCAGCCTGGCTACCTGTCCAGGACAGAGACACAATGACAGCGGGCACTAGTGCTGACAGTCACAGAAGGAAAGGGGCTGTTTTCCCTGACCCCGAGGGCGCTGTGGAACATTTGCTTTGCTTCGTCAACTCACTGTCATCATTATTGAAAGCTGCCCTTGCTGACCAATTGGGACGTGCCAGTACTTTATATGCACCTTTATAGTCTGTGCCAAGGAAGCACTTCGCACATGTAATCTCACAGAACCCTCTCGGTTCCCGTTCCGGAGCAATGTGAAGACTTCCTCGGAGCGGTGCCTCGTACTAAAAAGACAAAATGTTTGGTCAAACTAACCTACAGCCACCGCTCACACCACCAAACGAGCGCCTGCACATAGGGGACACTTACCGCGTTTCTAAACGAACAGGCCAGCTCTACTGATTGGCTAGCAGCTGCCTCTCCTTGTTCATTTCTACCCTTAAAGCAGCCATTCAAATATGGGAAGACCATCCGTGTGGGACCAGAAACAAGCCAAGTTCCCTGACTCTATTGTAGGAGGTGAAGAGAAGGACTCCTCGGCTGGTAAAGTGTGTGGGTCAGTCTCCGATCCCAGCACAAACACGGGAGCCTCGGGCATGCACCAGAATGCTCAACCTTGGCTTGACTATTACCCAGGACCTGCCAAAAATCTAGCTGAAGCAGCTCATATTTGAGAAAGACATGCTAACTCTCCCTGACTTATGCTCTCTTTCTTTACAAAGTGAAATCACCACAAAGCCATTTACCTGGACCACATTAGCTCAGCGCCCACAGAAATACTTTCATGAGTCGAGATCCATTATTTCACCCTCAGCTCCAACTGAGAATCTATAGAAAATACCACCTTCTAAAGGACATGAGCACTATTTCCACAAACTAGCAATTGATGGCATTTTCTATTATGATTCTCAGCATTGCTTATATAAATATTCCTCTTAGAATTTACTGCCCCCAAAACACTTATGCCCACGGATGGAATTGTATGCTTACCTTATCAGACAACAATCTCATGCCCCACCCAGTTTCCCTTTGTGCCCTGGTTTCCAGGAAGCTTGGCACTAAATTTAGTGCTCCATTGTAGCTGCTCTCACACAATTCAACACACACATATCTCTTTCCACCTTCAAAAGAGAAACTGTTTTCCCCTGTCAGTTGCTTTACTTAGTTTTTTTCCTTTATGGTTAAACTAGAGGCCCGGTGCATGAAATTTGTGCACTCAGGGGGTACCTCAGCCCAGCCTGTGCCCTCTCACAGTCCAGGAGCCCTTGGTCCCAGGCCAAGGGACCCCACCAGTGCACAATCAGGGCTGGGGAGGGATGCGAGAGATTGGCCAGCCAGGGAAGGACTGCAGGAGGGCTCCAGGGTGTGTCTGGCCCATCTTGCTCAGTCCCTACCTGCCGGACCCCAGAAGCAAGCTAAGCTACTGGTTGGAGCATCTGCCCACTGATGGTCAGTGCACGTCATAGGGAGCAGTTGAGCGGCCTTAGCATATCATTAGTTCCTCTTCTCTCTGTTCTACAGATCGGCCAGCTGGGCCGGCAGCGCCAGTCTGCTCCTGACAAGTCCTTCCAGCCCTCTCAGCACTCTTGCCCGCGTGCCTGGAGCTTCTGGATCCTGTGGCCAGAAAGAGATAGTAAAACCTCAGGATGTAGATGCAATGGGAGGGAGGAGGCACACCAGAGCTCTAGTTAGCAGGTGAGTGAAGCAGAACTTTGTTCCCCAGTTGGCTTTAGGTCCCTGTGCCTGTCCCCTCTGCGTCCCCACAGGGAGGAGAGGAGGCTGGCGGCTGGATCTGAACTTCCTGAGTGCCTGGCTATCCCCTCATTTAATAGCAGCAACTCCCTCTTCAGCATCTAAGAAGGAGGTGGGACTCCACCCAGCACAGAACATCCAGTTCACGGAGAAGGAAGAGAAATGCTCAGTGAAAGACTCAAGAGCTGGAAAGACAGGGTACTACTCTTTAAAATTAGTAGTATGAGGTTCTAAAAGGAATCTGAAGACCAAGTATTTTTTTTTTTAATGTGGAAAAATACAGGGGACTACAGAGTCAAGTGCAGTAAAGTTAGAAACATCAGCTGATTTTCAAATATACCACAGTCGTGGCTGCATTTAACTTATAAATATTAAATGACCCTGATCAGAACCGAAGTGTGGCTGCTTCAAAAAGGCTTCCTTTCCACCATTTAGCGAAGCTGGTTGTAAACCACCGAACCACAGGCCTCTGAGGCCTGAAG